ATGACAGTCACAAGTCATAAATAACACATTACGGTTTTGAAGTAACTTGCCCAACAGTGCTCAGAAATAGCGTAATATGAGCTTTTTAATCACTGCCATTTAACACACAAATTTCTTCCTCCAAACCACACACTTTTCCTGCCTGAGAATTGGCTGTAGACCTCCTCATAAAGACTCAAATTGAGCATTGACGATTAGAAATGACAGAATCTCCATCTCGATTAAAATCTGACTCACAACACAGCCCTGCCCGTTCGTTTTGCTGTTACATTGACTGGAGATGGGCATAGTGGAAAGGAGGAGATAGAATGAATGTTTAATGACCTGTGTGTGAGAGCAGGCATCCATTGCATCAGGAAACGCATCATCTGAGCTCCACAACACTGAGAGACCTGAGATTTGAGAACAGCAAGCCGAAGAATGCTGGGAATGATGCAATTGATTTTGGACAGAAAAACACTAATAAGTAACTTCCAAAATTCTTCTTTCATTACCACAATCTTTCCACCATCTTAGACTTAGGCAAACCGTATTATTGGATGGTGTCTTAGATTGGATGGTTCATTGAAATCAAATAGAAATTGTAATTTGAAGTGAATCGCAGAGGCAGCCATTATTTAGGTAATTGGAATGTTCTCTGAAAACATTAAAATCTCATGTCTTTTTAGGGAAAACTTGCTAGCCCATTATAGTTTTGGGCCTCTACAAACATGTTTAGCAGTTCACAGTTCATTGATGATGCTACATATGGGTATAGATAGGTGGATAGATGGTTTATTTGTGGTTCTGATAACAGAAAGTGTTTACATTGACTGTGTGTTTACATGCGCATCAGTATCCCTGTTATTAGCCATATCCCGGTTATGTCAGTATTCAGAATATGCTTTTTACATGCTCACTGAGAAATCAGGATATTCATGTCCCTGTGTACGTGATCAAATGTAGTATCCCGGGTTCTTTACATAATCTTACAAATGCACAAGTGCAAAAATTATATATTTAATAAACCATGAAAAATACAAACAACTATGAGCTCTTTTAGCAGAGCTGTGATCCACTGCACAGATCAAAACGGACTAAGAAACTGCAGCAGATTCTTTGTCTTCTGCATAAATAAACTCAACTTTACAACATATAAACCATAACCACTGTAGAGCCACATCAGCCCGTTTGAGATTATAATGTGTTTAATGCAACTTTGCCACATTTGTTTACGTTTTACAGAAACAAATTTTAAAACCACATGGCTCATTTGCATAAACTATAAGCGCTGATAAAACAGTTCATTCCTGATGTGGTCAGCTGTCGAACTAAAGGACATGACTCAGTGGAATATGTGTGTTCTTGCTGTGACAGAGGACGTGCTGCTGTTAGAGATGGTTCATGTTTAACTTTTCAGAGATCATACTTGCCCTCAACTTTATGTTGCAGTATTTGAGATACTGCGTATACATGCCACAGTATCCCAGTTTCTCTTCTCTTCTCTAGGATACTGAACCCAGGATAATGCGTATATATGCACCATGACGAAACTGGGATTCTCAAAAAACTCAATCATTACTGGGATACTGATGTGCATGTATATGCACTCATTGTCAGTATGTTTATTGCATATGGGGGTATATTGTTAAATAAGTTAAATACTTAGCTTAGCTCCAGAACTTTCTGGACTTGGCATGTCACCTTCATCTTTCCATGGAAATACAAGATTATTGTCAGACAAACATGTCCATGGAAACAAAGCCAAATAAGTCAGATTTGTGAAGATGCAAGTCCGCTCATATTAAGGGTGCATGTTTTTCAGTACAATAAACACAACCAAAATGAAAACAAATGCACTGCAAAAGCTAGCCAAGATGACTAACAAAGTTTGACCACGATTTCAGTAAATTTCACTCAAAGTAAAATGATCTGCCAATGGAACAAGACTTTTTGTACTTAAAATATGAAAATACATCTTGCTGCACTTAAGATAAGAAAAAAAAAAAACTTTTTGCACTTAAAATAAGGAACAAAATCAAATGTTGCTTGAATTAAGAAAAACACACTTATTCCATTAGCAGGTAATTTTACTTGTCAAGATGAATCGACTCAAATAAAGTAAAATGTTCTTCATTTAAGTAATTAAATTAAGAATGACTTAAGAATTAATTAAGTGTGGTTTTATTTTAGTTTAGATTTTGGATAAAAAGCTGCGTAATCTGGCTTTAAAGGTGCATTGTGTAACTTTTCTGGTGGATGGTCCATTAAATGTTATTGCTTTGTCTAAATAGAATGTTTGACAGTGTGGTAATAAACCTTTCTATCTTCATGGAGATCAAACCAGACCAAGTTACAGGTGAGGTCTGTGGAGAGACGACCCCACTCAGTCAGAATGTCTGTTTTTCTAGCTATTTTATGAACTTTTATAAAACAGGCTATTTCAATTTAAAACTTAATTAATTGAGTCCAAATTCTGAGAAATTTGAATATTCCAAAATAATTTCCATAGTTCCAGGTAATAGTTTCTCATGTAAATGGTGTGATGTTTTCCTCTGCACGCCGTGTTGACTTTCCCCTGTCCGTCATGTCTGACCTGTTTTTGACCCCATTTACGAGGCAGCTGTACGGGGTTAATGTGGGACTGCAGAGGTCAAAGTTCATGCCTCGCAGCTGGGCAAAGTAAACAGACTTTGGCTAACAGCGGCTCCCAAACAAACAAACCTATAAAATCTGTTTTCTATGCACTTTTAATGGCGATTCTGTTCATCACAGTCGGTTCAGCACCATTTAAAAGCAATAGTGATAATGGCCAAATGAAAGGCTTTAAAGGATCCAGAGCAGAGAGATTCTATTAAGAAGAGCAAGTAAAACCACAGTCAGACTATTAAACTCCCTGGGCTGTTTATTTAGTTGATAAATAAATAAAATAGCATTGCAGCAGTTAAAGGGCCACTATGCAAATTGTTTGGCTGGAATTTGCTGCATGCCGGTCTCCATGGAGATGTTGTTGCTTTATCTGGAATGTTCCCTAATATGTCATGAAACCTGCTTATCTTGTAGTTATTTGATTACTGGTTCTTTTATTGCTAAAATTATATTGAAAAACATGCACCCAGACTGTGAGCAGAGTTTGTACCTCCACAGATCTCACCATTCACTTGGAATGGTTGGAATGGTGATGGAAGTTTAACCCTTCCAGACCTAAGGGCAATTTTCCAATCCAATCCAACTTTATTTGTATTGCACATTTTATAAACAAGAGAGTTTCCAAAGTGCTTGACATAGCAATGTAATACATTGTAAAATTGTTTAAAAATCAGCAGAATTATGTTTCAACCATGAGGAAACTAATAGAATCAATAAATAATGAACAAAAATAATACAATCAATACATAAAAGCTGTACTAAAAAAGATTGTAAAAAATAAAGATTGTACATTTGTCCTCAGCTGGATTATATTTATTTATTTATTTTTTTTTTTTCCAATTAAAACTCCCCCTTTTACCCCCTAATGAAGTGTTGCACATCTTTTTTTTTCACACTTTTTTTTTTCAGTACAACCTGTTATTTCACAATCTGTATGCTGTAGTTGTGTCATATGGCTGTAATAAAAACTATAGGACCAAAAAACAGAAAATAAAACTTACACTCTTTCATCCAAAACACACAACAAACATGTATAAACTACTTTTTGGACATAAAAAAGGCTTAATTTAGGGCCTTATCTACAAAAGTTTACTTACAAGTCTGTAAGTAAACTAAAAATATCCTTATTGCCCTCCAAACAAAACAAAAAAAGTGCAATCGCCTTTTTACGTTACTAGTGCCAGTTATGGAAAGAAGAGCTTTTCAAGGGGGAAAAAAGTAAATTTCTGTCTTTTACGGTTGGACAGTTATACGTGGTTATAAAACATATTCCCAGATATTGTATACAATACAGTCAGTCTGGAAGGGGTAAAGTTATACTGTGGAACATTCCAACAAAAACATATCCATGGTGGCAAGCAGGTGACTGAACTTCCACCAGAAAAGTTACACCTTTAATGTACATAACCAAATATTTCACTATCTGACAGCTCTCTGATGTAAACATGTCATCAAAAAAGTCCGGATGGGGAACAGAGCCATTGACAATTCTGATTTTCATTTGGGTTTGGATCTCAAGCAGATATCAAGGCATTTTGTAGCTCTTTGTTTTCTTTTTTTTATTTATTATGATTATTTTCTAATTAAAATATAATAGTTGAAGCAGACCTATAATGCAGAATCAATTTAAATCATTTAACCATGTTAGTTGTTTTCTCCCTCACCATTTAATTACAAGTCGTATTTCAGGTGATTTGTGCATGTTTGAGTGATCACTTTTTTTCCAAGATGCCATTTTGTCGATTAATTCCTGTTTTACATTGCACTTACTTTGTTCTCCAATTTTATTTTCTTACTCAGTGATGTGTGTAGGATTCAGCAGCATTGCATAGTATTTGGGTAAAAAATTAAATAAAACAATATAGGCTGCTCACTAGTGTTATCTGCAGCTATTAATCAGAGGTGCTGACAACTGTACTGTTGTGATGTGTGTTTGCGATGAAATATTGCTGTTTAAAATGTAGACACAAGCACAGTATGTCTTCTTTAATCTTCAACAATGTTAAAGATGCAGTATGTAACTTTTTTTTTTTTGGGGGGGGTCCGTCACTTGAGTTGTCATTGCTCTACCTGGAATTTACATTTGTTAAATTACAAATGGTTTTATTGCTCAAAAATACCTCAAAAACGGGCATACTGACTGTGAGCGGGGTCGCCTCTCCACAGTTCTGACCTGTAACTTGGTCCGGTTTGGTCTCCATGAAGACAGAAAGGTTTAATACCATACTGTGACATTAAAAAAAAAAAAAAAAAAAAGTTGACGAACCCTCCACCCTAAAAGTTACATAATCCATCTTTGAATGTCTAATTAAATATTTCTCTCGTATACTTTCCAAATTTTTATACCATGTTTTTTTCCTTTGTTTTTCCAGACGCACACCATTTTCTCTCTGCTCGGGTTGGACCACGCCTACGTCACCAGCATCGGGCGTCTCATCGGAGTAGTGTCTCTAAAAGAGGTACAAAACCCCTGTCAAACCCTTCATCGTTCATATTCAAAACCGCACGAACAAGCAGCCTGCATTGTTAGAGCTTTCGTAACTGTAAAATTACTGTCACTCCCACAAAGGGGTACATCATCAATACAATATGCACAAAGACATTTCGGTTTGACAGTTTCGCGCCCTCCCCTCAGACTCTTATGTACTGACGCAGACAATGGGCTGCTTAATACTGCTGTCTCCTCACTATTGTGTCTGTATGAAGCAAAGGCAGCCAGCAAACAGCGGCTAGCGGCCCCACGTTTGCGAATGAGACAGGAAATGCAGAGCCACTCATCCATCTGTGACATTTAGACATCTTTTGTTCAGGAAAAGCCGGTCCTCTTCCAGTGTCAGCCCGTCTCACAAACACCGTGTTACATCAGGCTTGGTCTTATCAACAAGGGGCCATTATAGTGCATTCGGTTCACTGTACGACGTTGCATGAAATAAAGATTGCGCAATAAAGAGAGAATTTTGATCATATTCTCCTGATACGCTTTAAAAGTGGAGTCTCATTGTGCTATTTTCCGATCTATGCTATAATGTTTCCTTGTCAAAAACATGCCTGGAGTTGTGTTTTGTTTCATTCGTGCATGTTTAACACACAAACTCTGCGTATTTAGGTTGAGTTCTTCTCTGAAAACCCTCTCTTCCACCTTGTGATGTCATGTGGTAATACAGGCAGTGCTTCATTTTGTTTTTAAACTCCATACACCTTCACTAGAATCAGAAATTTGGATAATATCAGCTCTGGAATTGCCAACATCTACTGAACTAAAGGTAAAAGGAACGGTTAACTTGGAAATCACCACAGCATTTTGAGCTTTGGAGATGTACAGACTAATGATAAAGGGTCACTAAAATATAAACACAACTCCATGTTTTGATGAGGTAACATCAGGCTTAAAGCTCACAAAAAATCAATGTAGGATGTAGAATTAAGACTGACTGACTGCTCGCTGTGGCTGTAGCTGTGAATGTTTGAATCTTAACATGTAGAGAATGCCGATATTTGCTAATTAGCCCTGGGATAACATTACGCCTGATGTTCGTCAACTGGCTCCACTATGTTACCTTCTAAGATATAGGTGCAATTTCCCATTCAGAGGAGGTGTGTCTAGACCACAGGTGTCAAACATAAGGCCCGGGGGCCAGATCCGGCCCTCCAAGACCTTTAATGTGGCCCTTGGGTGATTTTCTACTAAAATATTTTAATTATATTTTCTATTAAAATATTGTTAATTTTCTGCGGCTCTTAGCATAGCAGCGTTTCCAGCGTCTCTGTACGTGGCCCCTCCCACCAGAGCAGCACAAATGAAGACTTGTCTCTTTCCAAACGCTCTTAAAGGATGATCATTTTAACTGTTGACTGTGACACCCTCATCAGCAAAATGTCAAAAATAAAAAAAAGTGGATGTCGAGTGCAGGATTTTCCAAGAAAAATTGACTTATTCCTGTTTACATACAAGTTATTGTTAAAACATTGTGTTGAAATTGAATTTTTCTTCAAGTTTCAGGTTGTTCATTATATTATAAGAAAGAGTTAATCAATTAAAAAAGATTTCTGTAATAGATTTGCGTTTCTCTGCACAAATTTTTGAAGTTATTGTTATTTTTGGGGTTTATATGACATGAGTTTTCTGATCCGGCCCCTTTGGGATCAAAGTAGGTTGGATACGGCCCCCGGACCAAAATGAGTTTGACACCCCTGGTCTAGACAATATTACACAGCAGTGTTTGGTTCCCAAATTCAATGTGGCAAGACAAGACATTTTTACAATAAATTGTAGCTCCTTGTTGCGCCATTACTCCATTTTTACCCGCTGCTACAACTTAAGCACATGCGCAGTCTTTATCTCGGTCAATGTTTCTACTGCTCGATAAATAATGTCTGTGAAGTGATGACGTATTTTTGACAGTAAATTCGCGTCTGTGAATTCGTATTCGTACTGATGCATAATCGTAAATTTGTAAATCTTGATGTTGTAACTTTTCAATTCGTATTCTGATGGATAAAATACACACAATATATTTTATGTACAACTGGACTCATTTCAGAGTTTACGAATATTTATTTTATGCACAACTACAGCCAAATATGCACGGATTTCTATTCTATGCGCACGAATAATTCTGAAAGCTTTCTTACTCCATATTTTTCTCTGTGGAGTTTACATGTTCTCCTTGGGTCTTGGTGGTTGTCTCTGGGCACTCCAGTTTCCCCCATCAAACCAGACGTGCACCAGGGACTACAAGGTGGAAATGAGCTCTAGTGCTACAACCTGGCACAATGCCTCTCTCCTGTTAAGGTTAATGTATACTGTGCACTGTCCCTGTCTCATAAATAAACTATATATATAAATAAAATACTTTGAAACTACTTTGGGACAGTGTCAGGCACTTGGTTTCCCATGATTCTCAGTAACATGCCTGACAGGACAGAGAAGGTGACCCTGTGAAGAGCTTCTGTGTTAGTTATTACCTGAGGAAATACTTTGTAAAATGAATAGATTATATTTTCCTCTTTTATTTTTTCTTATTCAAGCAGCTTTTACAATACAGGGTAAGGAGTGTTTATCTTGAAAAGAATAAATAAAAATCCGGTACAGGCTCTTTAACTGGACTCTAAAATATGTACCCAAAGAGAGCAACATTATGAAATCAAAATGTCAAAAACCAATAAACAAGTTGTGATTTTTATCAGTAATACACTTTATATAAAAACAGTATCCATCTAGAAGCCTTCAGTTTGACCTTTCCACTTTTATTTGGCTAAAATGTCTTTAAAATATCTCAATCCACACCCATTGCTTTTTGATTAATTTGTAGGAACTTTTGTTTTATTTAGTCCCTTGTTTCTCAGAAGTATAATGACATAGAACATTTATAACTCCACTGTACCACAACTTTTCAATTCACAAACTCATAAAGCCCCATAAGTGCCCTATAATTCAGTCTAGAGTGTTGCACAAAGATTGCTTTTTTAATAACTTGGTCTTATTTACAAAGCTGACTCCAGTGCTCACAGTGGGACATGGCAGCGATCCCTCTTTATAATGACCACAGGAGATGTACACAGAGATATTACTCAATGTTAAGCTGTTGTTTCCCCGACTTTTCCCTGGACTATTCACTGTTTACAAAATGTCACATATGCCACACGCTGACAGCAGGTACAAAACTTCAGAAAGTGCACAGCTCGTTCTTTCCCAAAATAAGTCACACTGCTGACCTGGGTCCTGGCAGTGTGGTGACAATTATTTTTTGTGGATACCTGCCACCAAAGAACTAAAGTGTTTTTGTGTATTAGATTAGATAAAGTACTCTAAAGGCAAAGTACTGTAAAAGCAGGTCGTAGGTTAGAAATGAGACCACATTGCAAAAACGGAAAAGTTAAGATGACCTGAACTGAGAAAGTTTTATCATGATTTGAGTCAATTTCATTTGTCAAAGTAAAATACAAAGACTTTTTGTACTTAAACTATGAAAATACATCTCACTACATTTAAGATAAGAAAAGCAACAATTGTTTGCACTTAAAATAAACTAAATCTTGCACTTGACTGTGTACTGTCTGCATCTAATTGTAAAGTGTTTTATGCACCAAGGTCATTGAAATTCTGTGTTCAGCCTGCTGGTTGTTATTAGCCTTACAGGTCCTACTATATTATGCAAAATGGACTCTTGTGAGCTTTATGGGTTGTTATAATGATGTTACCTCTTTACGTTAAGGTGTATAGATCAGGGGTTTTCAAATTGGATGAATGTGAGCCTCTTCTTAGAGCAGGTAAAGACAGCCGAGCCCCCGTTTGCCCAAACTCCCATCCGCCTGTCCTCCCCACACCGGCCTTTGAAGTAAATGCATCTTTTGTGTTCTTGGCAATGATGAGTTTCAATAACTGATAATGTATTCTTTAATAATAAACTGGCCCTAAACCAGGACTGAACCAGGACTAATCTTAAACTTGAGAGAGAGGGAGAATCCTGAGCCCATGGAGCAGGGAGTCTGCAAAGTGTGATCAGGTGATGGCTGCACTTAGCTCCGTGGGGCGGGAAGCTTTGCACCGTTCCTTTCGCCTGCGGTCACCCGACAGTCTATGCGGACGCATCTTCGGGCCCGTCCCAACACTCTGTCCTGGTTCAGTTCTGATTTAGTTCTGGTTCAGTCCTGGTTTAGTCCTGTTTTTCCTTTAGTCCTCCTGGTCCTGTTTTTAGTCCTCCTGGTTTAGTCCTGTTTAGTCCTCCTGGTTTAGTCCTCCTGGTTTAGTCCTGGTTTTAGTCCTGGTTTAGTCCTGGTTTAGTCCTCCTGGTTTAGTCCTCCTGGTTTAGTCCTCCTGGTTTAGTCCTGGTTTAGTCCTCCTGGTTTAGTCCTCCTGGTTTTCCAGTCCTCCTGGTTTAGTCCTCCTGGTTTAGTCCTGGTTTAGTCCTGGTTTAGTCCTCCTGGTTTAGTCCTGGTTTAGTCCTGGTTTAGTCCTGGTTTAGTCCTCCTGGTTTAGTCCTGGTTTAGTCCTCCTGGTTTAGTCCTCCTGGTTTAGTCCTGGTGGTTTAGTCCTCCTGGTTTAGTCCTCCTGGTTTAGTCCTGGTTTAGTCCTGGTTTAGTCCTGGTTTAGTCCTCCTGGTTCAGTCCTGGGATCAGTCCTGGTTAAGTCCCTGTGTGTTGCGGCTCCTCAGTGGCTCTTTGGCGCCCCCAGGGGAGGCGGACCTCACCTATTGAAAACTGCTGGTATAGAGTTTAAGAACACAGTGGAGCACTTCTGGTATTACCACATGAATTCACAAAGTGAGTCTCAGCCTAAATATGCAGAATTTGTGTTAAACTTGTGTGAATTAAATAAAACAAGAATGGTAAACAGATATGATTTTGACGAGAAAAAAACATGAGAACAGAGATTAATTTTGTAATGTGGCCTCTTAAATCAATGTGGGGGCGGAGCGTTTGTCCACTGATCCGAAGGTTGGTGGTTTGAATCCCGCTCTTGACATGAAAAACATTGGTTGAGCGGTCAGATCCACTGACCCAAAGGTTGGCGGTGTGATTGTAGCTCCCACAGATGAATACTGTTGTTGTGTCCTTGGGCAAAACACTTAACCCACCTCGCCCCCAGTGTCTGCATACACTGGTGTATGAGTTTGTGCGTGTGAATGGGTGAGTGATTCCTTGTTGTAAAGCGCTTTTAGTGCCTTGAAAGTGGAAAAGTGCTATAGAAAAATGTGACTATTTACAATTTACAATGGCAAAACTCCCCTCTGCCGTCTCAAAGTTGTGAATAAATATTTGTTTTTCCTGTTTAGAGGATCAAAGTGAAAATGAGGTGAAGTACCTTTAATTCAGCTCCTTCCCTTCTATCTGATAATATCGCCTGCGTCTGTTTCAATTAACCACTTTCAGTCATGGACGCCATTTTGAGGACTTAAGATAATTATTATGGCCCAGTAAATTGTTTTAATCTTAAAACCGAGCAATTGTTGGTAACCACTATGGCATCTGAAAGCCCTGCCTCCAAACTTTCATTTAACACTAATTATTTTTTTCTTTCCATAGCTCCGCAAAGCCATTGAGGGCTCCGTGACAGTGAAGGGGGTGAAAGTGCGCCCCCCTCTGGCCAGTTTCCGAGACAGCGGCACCAGCAGCAGCGAGACCGAAGCCACGGAGCTCCACAAACTCTGGGACCGCCACAAGACCATGACCCTGCCTCGCGAAAACACAACCTCCTCCGAATCGGACGAGAAATCCCACTGAAGAACAAACGGCACACGCAAAAGGAAAAGGAGGAGAAGAGGAGGAAAGGGGGGAGGAAGTTAGGTCTCCCAATCTCCCAAAGCTACACAACATGCAAAATTCCTCAGGGCTTAGGATCTACATTTAATCCTACGAGTTTCCCAGCTACTTCAGCCTATTTTATCCATCCTAACTCCTCTTTTTTCTCCTTCGTAAAAGCCCACTCCACACCTCCCTGCTCCACTGTTGTAGACTGTGATTGGAGCGCTGGGGGGTCTTCCAAGGGACTTCACGCATTCAAGAAGGGATGTTTTTATTATCTGACTTTATATTATGTCGAGCTGGTTTGATCAAATCTGCAAAAGTCTTGAATGAGTCTTCCATTTGAAATACGTTTGTGCGTCTTGTATGATTGAAGCTGCATGTTTTTGTCCGAGGAAAGCGTAGAACTACTTTTCAGAGTATTTTTATTATCTTTAACTGATCAAATGCACTGGGTTTAACTGGACTTAACTTTGTTCATTTGTAGTTTCAAGCAATGGACCATACAGTGACGCTTGCCTTATATACACAACTGGAGCATGATTTTACCTTTCTATCGTGTACATACTTCCTTAAGGCTTTAGCAATTTCTATTTTTACTGTAACAAAAACACTAAGAGCTATGCAAGTTTTGCCTGTTAGGTAGGTTCATACAGACTCCATTGTCCCGCTGAATTAGTCCTTCACCGTAAAGTTTAAACAGCGATTTTTAACCATAGGGGTGGCTCTCTAGAGTAAAGCCATTCGCATCTCCTCGAGGGCCCCACAATCAGAAGAATATAACATGTTTAATATGTGATTGGGCCCCTGGTTACACCGTAAACGAACAGTCAGGCCCCGAGGTCGAGAATAACTCGTGGTTTAAAGGACACATATTATCCTAAATTGATGTATTTTTAAGCTTTTTTGAGTGATAATGTTGTTCCCTCATCAAAAACATACCAGGGATTTTGTATTTACTTTTATTCACACAATTTTTAACAGGATTGTGACGTCAGAGGTAGAAACCTGAAGCCTCCCGTGCTGTTTTTAAGTCCGTAAATCAACGCCGGGCTTGTTCTGAGCGTTTCTCTCATCAAATCATGCTCATTACAACTTAGAGTGCCGGGTACGTTGCTATAATACCGAGCTTTTGTTTGTTTTTTCCACGGTAATTGTCGCTGTTGGGGTAGATTGTTGTGTAGCGTGAACAACAAATCCAAATGAGGGAGCACAGGCTGAATCAACTTTGTGATTTTGTTCCACCTAGGTATTATTTGAAGCTGAAGTTGAAGCATAACATAGCTCAGGTGACCAGGTGTCCTTATTTACCCGGGACAGTCCCAGTTTTGAGCTCTGTGTCCCCTGTCCCAGCAAAGTTGTCCCAGTTTTATACAAGAAATGTCCCACATGTATCTATTTTTGACCAATTTGACACCTGCCAACAGTAAAGAGAGGTATACTTTGTGATTTGTTAGGTAAAATACAGAGAAGCTGCTTAAAAATGACCAAAACACAAAGAAAACTATACTGACTCACATTAGTGCCAAGTGCGTAACAATTTTTCTGAATTACGCGCTCGTTTCACAGTTTTATTATTGCGAACCAACTCAAACCAGGGATGGCCCAGTTTTTTTATTTGAAAACCAAAGTAAAGGCGCTCAAGGGCGTGTTTAAAGTCCAAAAACGGTACAAAAAAGCATAATATGTGTTCTTTAATTCCACTTGTGCTTGGCGTTAAGAGGAGGGGGCGACTACAGTGCGGCGCCCGGGGACCCGTATCCTATTAGGCCACCGTGCAGGTTTGAGTGTAGTCACCTGTGGCACTCCTTTTAGAGCCAAGTCGTTACATAAACATTACATGGACACACATGGCTCCAACAGCAGGTTTCAGCCCATCTAAATATAGACGGTAATAAGCGCTCCGGAGGAGGCTGTGCGGATGGAGAGGGCAGGAAGTGAGACGGAGCGAGCGAGGGAGGGAGGAGAGAGAGAGAAAGAGAGGAGGAGAAAGACGGGTAAGCAGGGGGGAGGGAGGGAGAGGAGAAAAAGGGGAGAGATGAAGACGGGAAAGAAAGAGGGGAGCAAGGGAGAGATAGAAAGAGGGGAGATTGAGGAGAGGGAGGGAGGGGAGAAAGAGAGAGGGGAAAAGGGAGAGAGAAGGAAGAGGAGAAAGAGGGAAGAGAGGGGGAGAGAGAAAGAGGAGATGGAGGGAGTGAGAAAGAGAGAGGGGAGGGAGAGAGGAGAGAGAGGAGAGGAGAGAGAGAGAGAGAGAAAGAAAGAGGAGGGGGGGGAGAGAAAAGAGGAGAGGGGAGGGAGAGAGGAGAGAGAGAAAGAGAGGAGAGGGAGAGATAGGGAAGAAAGAGCGAGAGAGACGGATTGAGATAGAGGGAAAGAGAGGCGAAAGCGGAGAGAGAGATGGTAGAAAACATGAAGACATCATTACCTCCGCAGCTGTTCAGGGCCGTCGCATCAATCTGTCTTTGATCACAACGTTAGCTAACCTCTATTAGCACACAGACACATTGGCCCCGTAAACGCCGCCGCCGATATGATGTAACCCTGCCCCCCCCAACCCCCCCCCACCCTCGCTCCCAAACACACTGCCCCCCCCCTCCCAAACACACTGCAAAAAACACCAATGCCGGTTCAAGGGCCCATATTACGCAATTTTCTGATCCATGTTATAATGTCGTTTCCTCATCACAAACAGACCTGGAGTTGTTTTGTTTCATTCACACATGTTTAACACACAAACTGAAAACACTCTGTTCCACATTGATAATACAGGAAGAGCTCCACTGTGTTTTTAAACTCCATACGCGTTCACTAGAATCATTTGGATCAGTTCAGTTCTGGAATTGCCAATCTCTGCTGAACTAAAGGTAAAAAGGAGCTGTTCACTTGACATCACAAGGTGGAACAGAGCATTTTGAGCTTTGGAGATGTACGCCAACAATAATACAATTTGATTATGCAATCATGTGGGAATGAAACAAAACACACAAAAAAAACTCCGGGTATGTTTTTGATGAGGTAGCAGCATTCTAACTTGATTTAAAGCTCACAAGAGTCAATTTTCCGTAACTTCGGAGCTAAAAAGATTTGATTCAGAATCAGTATCTCAGTTTGAATACTTTAATTGGTTGGACAATGTTTAAATTTATTCCAGATTCAGACATTTTTATACAGTTCCTTAAAAAAAGACTCAGTTTTATTAAAAGTCAAAATATCGTGAGACAAATAAGTAATCTCAAGTGATGGAAACTACTCAAGTCTTATCAAAATTAAATAAATAAATAAAATAAAATCAATTGAACTAAAATAATCTGAATTCAAGTCACTTTAACTAATGTAGAGAGTTACGTCACTGCTCCAATGTGAAAACCAGTATAGGAAATCCATGGCATGTGTTTGGGGATTACTGCAGGACACGTGCAATCAGCCGCTTCAGATCAACTTCATTAATCACCACTGCATCGTCAATATGTGAGCCGCACTCTTCCGCTTTGCACACGCTGCTTCAGATCAGATCCGAGCTAACATGACGTATGAATACTGTGTATTTAATTATTCATGTCTGCCATATGGGCTTAAGGCTTGTCACTGCAGTGCTTCCAGACAGAATAACACAGATTTGTCTTCCAGCTTTTCTCACCCGTTTTCGTTTCGTACATTCCTTTGCACCTCATGTTTGACTGAGATGCCTTAAATATGCAAAATGAGCATTGTGGGGTTGATGAAGTGAGAGTAGAGAATAGAAGAATAGACATTAGAGATTACAGACCATTCGTTGGTTGCATTCGATGGTACAGTATTTTAATGGTACTACATGTAACTTTTCAAAGAGGGGGTCCGCCACCTGCTTCAATGTTATTGCTTTGCTTGGAATGAACGTGTCTGTCTTTATTCAATAACAGGTGCTTTTATAACTCAAAAAACTTGAAAATTAGTAGTACCGTATTTTCCGGGTTATTAGGCGCGCTCTTAAGCCTCCAACCTCATCAAAAAACGATTGAGCACCCCGCAATCCAGAGCACCCTGTACACGAATCCACTCAGTAAACTACAAAAAGCTGCACCACTCGCAGCGCACGCAAACACGCACGGAGCAGACAACGACCACGCAGCCAGAAACACCTGCAGCCACACTCATCACTCCACGACAACGAGGAACGAAACGGAGGAACGAACCGAAAAAGCGAGTGCAATGTGCCACTTCTAGACACAACTGAACAACTGAGTCACTGCGAACACGCCGACAATCCAGCGGTCCCAGACAGCACCCTCCCTACACGCTAGAGGTGCACGGATGGGCTACTTTTTCATCCGCAACCGCATCGCAAAACTCATCATCCGCCCGCTATCCATTTGCAACCACAGTTTTTGACCAGTTTTCAAAACCGCATCAGCCCACCATCCGCTCAGTCTCCTCCCAGTTGCTCCGAGTTCAGAGTTTTTTATTTGAGTAGTGAAACCGCCACCCGCCCGAATTTAATTAAAATATTATTTTTTATCACGTCATCCGCCCGACCCGCGGTTTAGCTGCGGAGTCTGCGGCTGTAACCGCCATCCGCGCATCTCTACTACACGCCACAACTAAACAAAGCCCAGAGTCACCGTGAACGCGCCAAACAAAGTCCCACTCACCCATGGAACTGTTGTGTTTCATTTAAAATCCGGTGCAGTTTATTTGCGAAAAAAGTTCGAAAATACACCATCCTATGACAGTGCACCTTATAATCCAGAGCGCCTAATAGCCTGGAAAATACAGTAGTTATACTGTATGCGGGGTCACCTCTGAACAGATCTGACCTGTAACTTGGCCATACTGTAGAGCAAGGGTCTCCAACCTGTAACTCGATAGATACTGGTAGCTCTCCACCTCCTTCCAAGTAGCTCGCCAAAGGATTTCAAAATTATACCATTGTGCTGAATAAGTCAAATTTGGAAGGTTTGGTTTGAAGCCCAACTTTGTGCACTAATAAATGGACAGTGGTTTATGTTTTAGAGGCATCTAACTGTACTCCAAAGGCTCGCCCTCTTTTTTTATAATCGTCTCAGTGTCTTGCTGCCGTTAAAATGAGTACCTCTCTGACATTTTTGTTTTATAAAGTTAGCTCGCTGGAGGAAAAAGGTTGGAGACCCCCGCTGTAGAAAATGCCAGGCGAAGCAATAACATCTCCATGGAGACAAGTCGGTTGCGGGTTCTCAACAAACATGTAAACATCCCATGAAGATTTGAATGTGCTGAAATTCCTTTTGAACAATATGATCAAAATAGTATTGGAATAGGTTACACCTCTATTTAAAGTCACACTGTGTCACTTTTTGGTTGGGGGTCCGTCACCTGCTTGTTTCTATGGATACGTCATTGCTCTGCCTGAAATATTCCACAGTATGACATTAAACAACTCTACCTTACCCCTAATTTAATCACTTATAGGTGGTCTGATCTGTATTTTGGTCCCCATGAAGATAGAAAAGTTTAATGCCACATTGTGAAACATTCCAGGCAAAGCAATAACGAAAAGAATTTGATGGACCTTCCAGCAGAAAAGTTACACAATGCACCTTTACCTGGACATAGTAATTGATACTGTAAACTACTTAATTTCATAGTGGCACAGTGGTTAGACGCCTGCCTCTTAGCAAGGAGGTTATTGGTTAAAATGTTCGTACCAGCAGGTTTTCAGATTTCAAACGGTTTAGTAACTTACACTATGCCACTGGAGGGAGTTTTTTTTAAGTTGTTTACATTGTGTAGCCATGAATCAAGCCAGACTCGTAGCTCTTGCATTATTATAATTCATGCATTACTCTGCGCTACACTGTGGCCGAGCTGTGATGCGGAGTCTCACAACCTGTAATCTCAGTTTTGTCGATTTTTCAGATAACGTCACAATCTCCTTTTTTCATTATCGTCGTGATTTCACTTTGACATGGCACCACTTTGCATGAGAGCGCCTGTGAATATCATTATGGACCAAAAAGCTTGACTTCTCATTGACAAAGTGAGACATGTAGTGTACTTGTATGTATGACGTTTTTGTATTTGTGCACCGGGACATTTCAAGGGCCGTATTACGCTGTTTTCTGATCGATGTTTTAATGTTTCCTCGTGAAAAACAGACCTGGAGTTGTGTTTTGTTTCGTTCACGCATGTTTAACACACAGACTCTGAACATTTAGGCTTCTCCCAAACAGAAAACACTCTGTTCCACCTTGTGATGTCATGTTGTTATACATTAAGGCCCCGTCCACACTAGTACGAATTCGAGTCATTTTCATTGTGGATGCAGTGTACGTTGACACTGATCCGATTGAAAACGGCTCCAGAGACGGAACGATCTGGTGCCGCCAGCTCCCATGAATTCATTTGAGTACGGATTTGATTCGGCACCACGTGGACGCCTGAAAACGCTGATGTAGTTCTGTGCACCGCGAAGTAATTCACCGCCAAAACACCAAGAGGCTAGAATATATGTCCATTCATGTATATGGTCTGTGCGTATGACCTGTAGACGTTTAATCTCTGAAAACTTTAACATGAATCATCTCCAACGCAATAGAAATACAGAACAGACTCACCATTAGCAGAACACCCCTCTGTCACAGAAAGAACTCACATATTCCACTGAGTCGTGTCTTTTAGTCCGACAGAAGCTGAACCACATCAGTGCACAAAAGCGAGCTGTTTTTTGAGCGCTCAGTTTATGCAAATTAGCCATGCAGTTTTAAGTTTGCGTTTCTGTAAAACGTAAACAAATATGCTCAAAGCTGTGTGGATAAGGAAGGCTTACGGACACAGAAACGACATGTCTGGACACAGATCGTTTCCTATACGGTGATACGCTGATTCGTTTCAGTGTAAACATAGTCTAAGTGCTCAAACTCCATACATTTTTACTAGATTAATTAGCTCTGGAATTTCCAATTTCTGCTAAACAAAAGGTAAAAGGTAGCTGTTAAGTTCAAAACTACCATTACATGACATCACAAGGTGGAACAGAGCATTTTGAGCTTTGAGATTTAGACAAACTAATAATATAACGATACTCAAACAGATGTGAATAAAACAAAACACAACTCTAGGCATGTTTTTGATGAGGTAACAACATTATAAG